TATTATAATTGTATATGTATCATAATTGTTGAAGGGATTGTATTATAAATGTATGATAATTGTATATTTATTGTATATTGTTACGAGCAGTTGTGAGTTTGTGAAGAATTTCACGATTTATATCACAAATATATGATAATTATATATTAATTTATTAGTATTGTATCAGGTATTATTTTGGGTATTAATGTACCATATACAAGTTAGACACAATTGTGATACAAATATGATACAATTATGTATTAGGCATTGATGTATCTGATATAATTCAAATACAATTACGATACAATTATCATACAATTCCTGAATATTTTTTCATTTTCAGTGTTGTCCAATCTCCTAGCAAAAGAACAATACAATTGACGATTTTTAATAATATAAAACCGTCGGCAATGGTGGGAAGAGATAAGATGGAGATTCTGGCGTAAATTAAGGGATTTTGATGTAAAAAAGGAAGGAGAGAGGAGAGGAGAGGGAAAAAAAAGAAGGAAATGATGTAATTGAATCCCTTAATTGAAGGCACTAATAATGGGGGTGAGAGCCTTTTAAGGAGCAATCTACAAAATTTGTAAGAAAAATTTGGATACTTATTAAAAACTACAAAACATAGAAAAGATAAGTAGATGGTGTTTGGATTGGCTTTTAAGCTAGTCAAAATAGCTTTTAAGTTCTTTTTAGCTTTTTTCAGTGTTTGGCAAAGTCAAAAAGTGCTTAAAATAACTAAAAAACTACTTAAAACAAGCCAAAAGCAATAAGCTGGACAACCCCAACTTATTGCTTTTTGGCTTAAAAGCTATTTATGTTGAAAAGCTACTTTTTTAAGCCATTTCAAATGGGCTCGTAATTAAGTTTCTAATATAGTGTAATTAGGTAAAAATCCCGAAAATATATTATAGTTCTTTCTCCTATATTAGACGAGAGATGGTTAGCCCGTGCTGCCGTACGGGCCCAGTCTCAAATGCCTCGACTCTATGTCTTTCCAAATTTGGATGAGTTGACTCTCTCTTTCCAAATTTAGATATAATTAACAAATTTAATCTTTATTTTGATTATGATAATCAGGGAACTCAAGTTAACGCCCACTTTGTTATGTTTCCAGTTTTCTTTTTTGAAAAAGAAAAATACTTGCATTTGCATAAGTTCAAAAGTTGTTCACTCATTGCCAAACTTAATTTACTTTTTCAAATATTAGCTTGCGGTTTGGTCATTTTAATTTTTAATTTGATTTATGTTTATTCATAAGTTGACATAGTTTATCACATGATGTAGCAAATACTAAATTCACCTAATAATCGTAATTTCTTGTTTGCTTAATATCAAAACTTAAAAACCTATCCAACTTTTTATTTTGAAATTTATAAACTGTTTCAATCTTGGGAAAGAAAGGGGGGGGGGGGGGGGGGAAAACATTAGAAAAACACTTAGCAAAGTCATGAAAATTGTGGTTCATCATTGTAGTGCAAGAAACTTCTTTCCAAAATAAGAGTTATTTTTTGGTTGCTCCTCCTTTCACTCTTCAGATGTCCTACACTCCTACTCCTCTTTTTTATATTTGTTTTTCTTTTCTTTTCACCTTCTCTATTTTCTTTTTCTAGGAGTCTCCCATTTAATTAATACTCCAATATAGTGGAAAAGTACTTTTTCTCACTTTAAACTTTTATTTTCTTTAAATTTCCTTGTTCCGTAGTTTAGCTCAAACTTTTTCGTAAAAATTATACGTGAGAGCCACTTTGTGCAGTGGTCTTTAAGCCATACCCAGTTTTCAAATTATTTTGCACCTGCACCCATTTTTGTCTTAAAGTAAGTTCAAAAGTACTACTTTACCCTCCATCAAGATCTGGTCTCATGGGCAGCCGCACGCTCCTCCATCACGAATTTCCACAATCTCTATTGCTAATCTTCCACCACCTCCGTCGCTCTAATCTGGCGCAGCGCTCCTCCGTTACCCTTACCTTCGTCCCTAACACCTACCTTTGTTCCTCATATCTAATAAACAATCATCCTATGTCGCTACTTCCGACAACAGAGAATAATATTGTCATCTGCGCTGCTCATTCCGCTTCACCATCCTTTCAGTCACATAGTCAACATCCTCAAGAATTTGAGCCATTTTACCACCAATTACTACTCTCTGTGGCAGTATTTTCTAAAAAATTTAAATAGCCAAGTGTCCTTCTAAATTACAAATGTCATACCTATTTCTAAGTGGCTACTATGCATGTGGGAAATTCCACAAGTGTCTTTGGTCTATTTCAATATATGTGGCATCCTTTCTCTTGGTTTTGGGTAAGTGGTATAAGCCAAGTATCAAGTGGCAGAGGAGACATAACACTTGTCTCAAGCAATTGCCATTATTGAGCTTATAAATAGGCTTTCAATCTCTACTGATGAAATATCAAGAAAAGCTAATCATTAGCTTCAAATCACTACTTGCTCTCTTTCTTTCATTCCGATGTTCTTCTTATGTCTCCACCTTTTTCTATTTTCAATAGATACTTTATTAGTTTCTTCTAGCAACTTGCTAGTATATTATATTCCTGTATATTATATAAACTTGTTTAATCCCGGGAAACATTTCACATTGCTGAAATAGTTTCTTAGGACAGTGCCCAGCACGACTCAAGTCAATTTGTGTATTTCCGCTCACAAATATTATTATAGTATTATTGTTGTTATTTTTCCGTGTCATTGCCCTACACTCTTGAGAGATTATACGATAGTTTCAAAATCCTTCAATTTCCACGTTCATTATTTTCTCTCCCCTTTTTTCTTTCTCTTTCTATAGAGTAAGTATCACCAATTTAATCGGTGATACTTCCTTTTATTTAATGCTATTTTCATATTTCATGAATTTGACTATTGGAACTAGGCTTTCATGTACGTATCTTCTGTCTAGCTTACTCAAGTTTTTGGTTGTAATACACGATTCCATTGGTAATGGTACGTTTCTCTTATGCCCGCACACTATATGGGCTCGTGAGGTTGTTGTTTTCAACTATTGAAAAACTTCATGCTTCGGGACCTGAAGTTCGGCAATAGCAGGGTCTAACTTCAGACTCGAATTTCTGAAGTTTATACTCTAATACCTGAAGTATATACCCATTTATCTGAAGTTCATAGCCAAATATCTGAAGTTCATAGCCAAATATCTGATGTATATACCCAAATACTGAAGTTTATAGCAAAATGTCTGAAGTTTTATACCAAAAAGTCTGAAATTTATACCCAAACGACTAAAGTTTATACCCAAATGATTGAAGTTCATAGCAAAATGTCTGAAGTTCATATCCTAGTGTATGAAGTTTATATCATAAATGTGTAACATGCATACTCAAATGACTAAGTTTATAGAAAAATGTCCGAAGTTTTTCTTTTTATTCTTTTTTTCTCCTCGTTGTATGTCATTTTTTACTTTGTTTTTCATCAGATTTAGATTCGGTTATCATAAGTAATTTAGTTGTACATTGTAGAGGTTGAGCTACACTTTATGCAACTGGGGTTATTTCCTTCCCTTTTCCTTTAAATTATTCATCATTTTAACAATTCAGGGGTATTATTTAATAATTTGGTTTTGTTGAAATCTTATTTTAGGTTGGTTTATATGGAGTTGACTGGTAGCTCTTCTTTTTTGTTTTGGCTTGATTTTAAGGATATCAATTTGACTTCTTGTTGTGTGTAGTCATGTATCAGATATGTATTCATGTTCAGTTTCACCACTTTATCCAATAAATCTCACATTGCATGTTAATTTTTGAAACTCCAAATAATTTGTTATGATATCCCCTTTTTGAGGAATATTTTGTTTAGTTGGCTGGAGTTGGCTTATTGAAGTGTAAACTTCAGACCTGGAGTCTAAAGTTCACCTGTAGCGGTGCAAACTTCAGACCTCTGCTTGTACCTAGCAAACTTCATATTAGATCTAGTTTTAATGATGCAAATAATATATCTGTACAGGAAATCAATTACAGAAGAACAAGCAATCAAGGAGCTACTACAAGATCGCTGAAGTAAATCTTGATGCTTATGAAAAGAAATCAATCAGCAAAGATTACGAATCAATCAGCAAATCTGAATGCCTAAGGAAAGAAATTAATCAGAAAATCAATCAGCAAAGATTACAGACAGTTGCGATCGAAAGAATCAAGCAAGCCTAAACTTAAGGCGTTAATCAAGGCCATCACATTCAAATCCGGAAGATCGAAGATTCTGTGAAGAGTTGCTGCGCGGCTAATTTCGGAAGGACCAACATTCAAGGAGTAAACCTTCATCATAAACAACTGTTAAAGGAAAGCTATCAGGGAAGAGCAACGACAAGCAATCTTATTCTTGGAAAGAATCAATCTCTTTCCAAGGATCAAATCTCTTGGGTTGTCAAGCCTCTTCAACAAACGATCTTCACCAAAGTATTTATACCCAGCTTCAAGCCTTAGATAAACATACATTGTCAAACAAAAAACCCTCCCTTTGTTCTACTGCAAACAAACATTGTAGTTCTCTAAGATCTACTGTGTAACAAGTTAGAGAAAAAGGAGAGTACAACACTGGTGAGTCATTGTATCAAAAGAGACGAGTGTTGTAGGAACTGAGTTATCAAGTCATTTCTATTGTACTCAGAGAAACGCATTTACTAAAGAGAACTCCCTTGCAATCCAAGAGGACTGGACTAGGATTCACATTTAATCCGAACCAGTATAAAATTTCGGTGTCTTTAATCCCTGTACTTACTTTCTGTGTTTTACTTTCTGTTATTATAACTGTTAGGTCATTACATCTAGTCGACTAATCGATAAACTAGTCGACTAATAAGAGATTAAGTTTAAAAATATACAATTCACCCCCTCTTGTACTTTCAATTGGTATCAGAGTAAGGCTCACATTCTAGTTTTGCTTAACAGCTTGTGAGAAAAGATCATGGCAAATCAAGTTATCATAGGAGCTCTTTTTCAGGAAGGAACTTCATAAGTTAGACCACCATACTTCAATGGACAACATTTGTGCGGATGAAGATCTTTGCCAAGGCCTATTACGTCAAAGTTTGGAGAGTCATCAAAAATGGGAACTATCCCTTACCAGCTGCTACTCCACCACTTGCTGATCCTGAAGATATAGATTCATATACAAAAGAGCAAATGAAAGTGGTACAAGTTAACAATAAAGCAAGAAATCTGCTTCATAATGCTATAAGTGGTGAAGAATATGAGAAAATTTTAAGCTGTGACACAGCCAAAGAAATGTGGGACAAGCTTGAGGTCACATATGAAGGAACCAACAAAGTAAAGGAAACACATATTAATATATTGGTTCATAATTACGAACTCTTCTCAATGAAAGAAAGAGAATCTATTGAAGAGATGTTTGCCAGGTTTAGCAAAATAATTAGCGATCTAAAGGCATTTGGCAAGCCTTATATCAGTGGTGATCAAGGTAGAAAAATTCTCAGAAGCCTGCCAACCACTTGGCAGACCAAAGTAGTCACACTGGAATCTCAGTATCTAAACAAATTATCTTATGATGAACTACGAGGAGAACTCATAGCTTTTGAAAAGACGCATCTCAAGAAGACTAGTCAAGAAGAAAAAAGAAAATAGTTGCATTCAAGACTTCAACTAAAATAGCTGAAAACGAAATTGATGATGATCCTAAAGCCCTACAAGAAGAGATTGCTATGCTATCAAGAAACATGGATGGATTAATGAGAAGATTTAGAAATACAAAGAAAGGAAGAATTCCACCAAGACGATCCAGGCAATACAACGAACATGACAAGAATGATGGTAAGTGCTATGAGTGTGGAAGATTTGGGCACATTCAAGCTGAGTGCCCAGAACTAAAAAGGAAGATCTCTAGAGGCTTTAACAAGAACAAATCCTTTGGAAGCTGGAGTGATAAAGACAATTTAGACCACGAAGAGATAGCAAATCTTTGCTTCATGATGATTTTGGAAAACAAAATGAACAAATCCTTAGGATGCTAGACAGATGAGGACACTTCAGATGAAGAAAATGAAAACTGTTTCATGGCACGAGGTGAAACAAGTGAGGTAAGATCTTATAACTATGAAAGGTGCAATGAATTGCAGGATATTCTTGATTTAACTTTGAAAGAGTCTCAAAAAATGATGAATGAGATTAAGAGACTAACTAAAGAGGTTAAAGACTGGAAACTCAAACATGAAGTATGTGAAATCGAAAAAGAAGTACTTCAAGAAGAGTTTGAGGAATTGCAAATGCAACTCAATGGCATGCGCAAATCCACCAGTCACAGTTCTGTCAGATCAAACCAGACGACTTACAAGTCAACTGAAAAAGGACCAGCCAAAACTAAGTCCACTAGTACTAACACTAATGAAAGACCTAAAGGTGGGTCAGAAGTTACGTGTCACTACTATAACAAAAGTGGGCATAAATATTTTTTTTGTCATTTTTTGTAAAGCAAATGTTTCAGGATAGGTTTGGAAACCAAAAAACAATTCTGAATCTAGTAATACTAACTCTCTAGGACCCAAGCAAGATTGGGTACCTAAAAGAAAGTAATCATTTGTTTGCAGGAACACCATAGAATAAGCCGCAAAGGAAAATGGTATCTAGATAGTGCGTGTTCCAGTCATATGACAGGTGACAAAAACCTGTTCAAAAAATTACAAAAATTGATGGAGGAAGTGTTAAGTTTGGGGATGACTCAAAAGGTAAAATAATTGGTACTGGAACAGTTCCCTTCAATAACAACTGTGACATCACTGAAGTTTATCTCTTTGATGGACTCAACTACAACCTCCTGAGCATAAGTCAACTATGCGACTCAAGATATGAGGTAAATTTTAAGAAAACAGGTTGTGCTATTGAAGACGAATCATGTAAAATAGTCCTTCCTGGAAAAAGGTATGGAAATTTTTATATCCTTGATGGTTTTGAAAAGATAGATGGTCGTATTTGTTTAACTTCTATATCTGATGATCCATGGTTATTGTGAGCACATGATTTTTTCCCTACAAGAACTACTCCCACAAAAATTCAAAATAAAATAGTTGTGTGTTGCTTGTGATTTATTTGTATTTGTCTGTGTATGTTTTATTCTATTTTTACTACTGAAAAATACAAAAATATATGTGTTGCATTGACATTTACAATTTAGGATTAATTAACCATTGATTTGTTTTAGGAAAATGAAAATCATAAAAAAATAATATACTTTGCATTTTTAGCATTTAATGTTGAATTGTGTGATTTTATTGTTAATTGGCATTTAATTGTATATGATAAGTGTTATTAAGAGATAATTAGTATTTTTAGTAAGTTAACTTGGTTTATGATTTTAGAAAATAATGTAGAAATCAAAATGAATGAAAAGAATAAAAGAAATAAGAAGGAAATAAAGAGAGAATCAATAAAAGAGAAGAACCAAATTTGGGCCAAAAGCAGCCAAGCCCAAACCAAACTCGTCCAAACCCACACCTGATCCAGCCCATTACCAGTCCAATCCAGTCCATCTCGGAGACACCCAAACGACATCGTTTTGGGGAAGCCCTGATTAGGGCCGTTGATCTCACTTGATCAACGGTCCAGATCACTCTGCCCTCACCCGTAACCCCATACCCGACCCATGGCCCCGAATCAACCCGATCTCTTAATAAGACCAAACGACACCGTTTGAGTTAAGTGAACTGATCTGGACCCTCAATCTTTCTTGATCGAACGGCCAAGATCAAACCACACCCCCACTATATAAATGAAATCTCATACCCAGCCCCCCAGTCCAAACCCCTGTTCATCATCGTCTCTCAGAGACGAAGCCTCTTCCCCAAACCCTAGCCGCCATGGCATTCCTTCGCTTGAAACCCGGCGGCAACGCCGCCGCCGACCACCAAAATAATACCCCTGAACCTCCTAACCACCCCTAATCCAAATCCAGTACCCGTTTGCTTCGAATCATCCTCAAACTTCTTGAATCTTCATTTGAAGATTCGAGCAAAACTTGGACCTACCCCAATCCGCCCTGAACTCACACCCTGGCACCCCTTGACCTCCCTCATGACCAAACCACCGTTGGTTTGGTTCGAATCTGGCTAGAAACACTCGAACCCCAAATCGAAACGTAAGAACCCTAGAAAACCAAAACTGGTTTCTGTCCGAGGTTTAAGGGGATTTGGGTGTTTAACTGACCTTAGTCGAAGTGTTATCAGTTGAGAACACTCGATTAAGGTCCGTTTGACCTCAAAAAATTCAAGTTCGATTCGATTCAAGTCCGTCTGTTCTCTGTTCCATTCAAGGTATTTTTCCTTTTTTCTTTTATTCTATTTTGATGTTTTAAATGTCTGTTTATTTGTTTAGTATTGTTATATTAATTTTTCAATTTTTGTCGATTGTTCTGTTCTTCTCCCTCGAACCTTTTTATTTGGTCGAATTTGTTTTTGTTCGTAGTTATGTATAATTATAGGCTGTGCAATCGATTCGAATAAGTTCGTCGATTAGTTAAGTTTTATTGCAAATCCCTGTTCTTGTCAATGCTGCTTGAATTGCCTGATTATCTATTTCTGATTGATTGATGTCAATTGTTGTAGGCAATCGGTTAATTAGTTTTCGTCGATTAATTCGTTCTTGTTTGTAAACCAATAAGTTCGTCAAATGGTTGTTGTGTGTGCTTGATCTGTGGACACTTATCTTCAGGGCATTGTCAATAGGCAGACAATGATCCTGCGTTCATGTTCATTTTGATTCAATTTTCAGTTTCAGTTTTAATGATTCTATTGAGTTCTGTGTTGTGATTTAAATTCAGTTCATTGGTTTCAATTGGAACTCAACCTTAGTCATTTAGTTGTTAGGAGGATTGGTTATAACTGTTAGTCAGATTTAGTTTTAAATCATTGTTAGCTTGAACAGATTTTAGAGTTAAAAGGTTTTAATACAGATGAATAGATTGTATTAGGGGCAGTAATATTAAGGGGTTTCAGGGGTGATTTGGGAATGGAATAGTTAGGGTAATATTTTAGTATTAGTGACTTGTTAGTGGGGTATTAAATGTCCTTAAATTAATAAGGTAATGGGGAACAAGAGGGAATGAGGGCTGAAAATAAGGAAAAGCTTTCCTTAGTGGGTTTTAAGTGGAAAAAAGGCAGATATTTAGTGGGGAAGGGGGTCGGGCAGTTAAGTTTGAGAGAGAGGGAAGGTCTGGATGGCTATATAAGGGAGGGGGATTAGGACTGAAAAGAGGATGGATGGCTAGAGAGTTTAAAAAGAGAAAACAAAAAAAGAAAGATCCCGTTTCATTGCATCTGTAGGAGGAACTCGAACTCTGAACATTGAATCCGATTCCCTTTGATTGCTTAAGTGGTTCAGTGGTGTACTGGTCCAGTTTCTCGTTTAATATACGTTTGGTTGAATTTGTTTGTGGTGTTATTGGTTGTTGCTATTTGGTCTTTTACAAACTTTCTGGGCTGTGTCGGTAGCTGTTTGGAATTCCCAACTGCTGTTGTGGAACTGCTATTGCTGTGTTGCTCGTACTACTGCATCTGTTGTTTCTCATCTTCCTCTTCTTTTGTTTCCAATACCAGGTACACGACTATAACACTGGCTATTATAAGCTGAAATATGTGGAAGCATGAATACATATAAAAATAGAAGTTTGAAGTTTGATTCAGCTTTTTCTTTATTTACTGATTATAGTTAGAATATTTTGTACACTACTGCTATGTAAATTTTTGCTGCTTTGTATAGTTGGACTGTTATATGTTGATGCCCAAGTAATGTAGATGCAATGGTTTAGTATAGTTTAGATTTGATTTGTATATGATTGTATAAAGTGGGCTGAAGTTGGACGTGTATGTTTATGTTAATTAGCCTGCATATTGGTGCTAATCACCAATCTTGATGTAATAGGATTTATCCATGTGGTTTAAATGTTGAAAAAAAATCAGAATAGTTTGAAGCATGAGAAAAAAAAATGTGAGATTTACATCATTCGCGTGTAGTGATAAGTAGAAACTGGTTGTCATTTAGGACATAGGCATTAATCCAAAGACATCCTTTTGGCATTTGTTTGCTGATAACATTTCAATATCATAGCTTCAAAATATTGGGTGTTTTTGAATATTGATCTAGTAAGGCTAACTTGAATCAATTGATTTAATCAGCCGCCTCGCGTCTTTGGCAAAAATCATGTTTCTAATAGTGATTTGAACAACCCCAAATGTAGAAGTGGTAGTAGAATTAATAATAAAATTAGGATTTTCTTCTTCAATAATTTTTTAGAGAAAAAATATATAGACAATCGTATTCATTTTAGCATAGACCTTGAAATAAAACCTGAGACGAGCCTCGCCGGATAAAACGTGTAAATAGCGAGGCTCTCAATAATTGGCTAAAGAATAGAACATCTAGAATTCGGGATGGGTCGTTTAGTGAATTTCATGGCCCTCCCCAAAGTAATAACGCGTTAGTCACTGTTGGGCGCGTACTTTTAATAATTTACTTTCTTAAACTCGGGTGTACATTTATGTGACCCAAATCCAAATCTCAACGAAGTCGAAATGTGTCGCTAATCACGGGTACATTGATTGTGACGTGGTTCGAGATGCATTTCCACGACGTTGCAA